TCCGTGGAATTTCAAACGGTATTTGTATTGTGCATTCTTTAGTTTACCGTGGGTATCTGTGAATATGAGGGTAACCCTGCATTAGTCATCGAGTCTAAATCTCTAGAGAGCGTGGCCGCTTTTGTCCAACCGGCCGGCTCTTTGAGAAACACTTATTCACTTCACCAAGGCAAAAATTACACTCCCCTAGCTCGTCCAGCTTCAGAGATACTGCTATGTAAGTCGTGCAGTTATTAGATAGTGATATCTCGTATTCACTGGTGCAGTTCTGGTGAGTTAAAGGCACCCTGTAGAGACCATATGAAAAAGAGGGGAAGACTGGGAACGAGTACCACAAACAATTAATGATTTCAAAAATATAATTTCATAACGAGAAAGATCTAGACCATGWCTAAATTAGTAATTTCAGAGAGTTATGTCGTAATAAATTAAACCTGCAGAGTTATAAGAATTTTAAATGTACCAAAAACAAAATAGCGAGGCTAGTAGGCCCTTGGTTGTTGTTTCCATAGGCACCTTTCTTATTTCAAAGTAGCTGTASCTTTTTATAAAAATTATAAGAGATACGATGAGCATACTCGGTACTTTTACCCCCGGTATCCGTCCCACCCTCCGTCCCCCTCCCTTCCCCCTCACCCTCGGACTAGCTTGACGGAACATAAAGGTGTCGTATACGTAAAGATGCTTAAAGCAATGATAGCTTGAGGTTTAAATACTTTAAATACGAACTATCGCCCTGCTTTACTTCTCCTAAAGAAGCCTCATTTTCCCAAACAAGTTCAAATCGGTTGTGTGTTACCATAACTTCGAAGAAAGGTGCGAAACATGTTTCGTGACTTGAGCGTCGATCATGTATGCACCAAGGAATATTGAATGTGCAATGAATATTAACAAAACGTCTAAGCTGAGCCGTGCAAGGGTACAAAAGAAGAATCTATAGCCTCGTTTTATGCATTTGAAGTCGAGAAGGCGAGAACAGCACCTGATTAGTGAACGGCAAGCCACACGATTCCTGTTTTCTACGAGTTAAAGGTGAGTAAACTTTGTCTTATTAAGACTTAAACCAGTTTTCTACTTATATGCTACTACTTGCTTTTATAAGTTTCTTTAATCAATTTAACGAAAATGGTCTAGCTAGGGCAGGGCACGCTTAYTAAAAGCACAGATCGCCGAATTGGATCGTATCGTCAGCTTTCTCAAWTCCAAAATGACGGACGCTTTGCATCTTGGCAAAACGCTCGGAGTTATTTTCCACAGTAAACGACTCGTATTTATTTTTTTAAAAACTTCTTTTTAACCCTTTTTCATTGTTTTCTGTAAGAACTTCGCCGAAATAGATCACGTTACCTTTTTACCCGATAATTCGAACTTAGAGATCTGCTTACAGTGCGTTGGACTACACCGAGCAAGGCATGCAAGTACCGCAAGACCGGGTTTTAAATACGAATTAGGCAATGTATTAATGCATGTGATAGAATCTCCACAATTGTTCACATTTCTCCCATTAATGCATATTTTTTTACTTTTTTATTTTTTTTATTAGGGTAAAAATCAGCGATATGGTATCTTTTAGGATGTTAAAATTAAAATTTAGGATTTAGAATTCCAGCATATCTTGGTATCTCTTATGGTAAAAAAATCCTCCAACCGCGCCCGTTTTTGAGAGACTTTAATATGCTCGATTTATGCTGTTCACGCGTGACCTCATGCCGAATGATAGCGAAAGCTAAGGGAGTAGCTTGGGGACGAGGCCAGAATTTTGCAGTTAGGTTTAGCAGAAGGAGGATATCTTTCGCTTTTGCCTTTTTTCATTCGATTTCTTGGTTTTACGGTCTTTTACGGCTTCAGAGGTTCCATTTCACTGCCATTGGCTGCATAACAAGCGAGCAGCGAACGCGATATATATAGAAGGAGCTACCGCAAACGCCAGGCTAGAGAGAGCCAACCTTTGGACCCCAGGGTGGAGCGATATATAACATATTTTATTTGTTTACTTTTTTTCACAGGAAGGACCTTTTACGTTTCTAATGCAAGCTGCTAGTCTTCATCGAGCGATAATGTACATGTACGCTTGATTGAGTAAAGACTCTTAACAAGGGCGGATCCAGGGGGAGGGTCGGGGGGTCGCGACCCCCCTGTCATTCCTGAGGTCAAATGGGCTTCTTGTGGTAAAAATGCAACTGGGATTCCTTTGCCCACAAAATTTACCCCCTGAGACCGCCCCTTCAAAAACCCTGGATCCGCCCTTGCTCTACCAGTTTGCAGTCGAAACGTCGCGGTCCGTTCTACAAATGCATGACCCTCAATTAAGATAAGTATCTTTTTTTTTACATTCCCAAGCTGAATAATTATATTTTTTATTCAAATTTCTTTTTCATTTTCAACAGAAACAAAGATGAAGTCTGCCATGTTGTTCGTGTTCTTTGTCACATTGATCCTCGTCGTCCAGGGAAGAAGAATGATCGATGAACTTCAGGAAAAGAGAAATATCTTTGAAGTGCCAGCACTCACGACATGCCCAGGCAAATGTGAAATGCGTAATGACGTAGGACAGTGTGTGGAGTATTTTACAAGGCGACTTGGCCATCCTTGTGCCATATCTATTGATGTGGCACTGCCAGGCCCACTACCCTCTAAGTTCAGGAGCAAATTTTCACCATGCCCGGGCAAATGTGAAGTCCGTTTCCCCAACGGGAAGTGTGT